GCTGTAAGTAGCAAGTCGGCACCACCAAGGCGGGACACCCAGCAAGGCGGGACAGTAAAATTTGCTCCTTTTTAATAGATAAAAAATCAACCAACTATTATAGATTAATTATTTTTGTATCAAAAGATGCACCGTATTAAGTCTGATACTAATCAATTAATCGAATTTTAATTCCAAGTTGTTATTCCTTTATTGTGTTGAGCTAAAGTAATAAAAATAGTACTTTTGATAATTTTTTTTCGATTTTAGTATTGAGTATATATCAGAATTGCCGCGTATATATTAGAATAAGCGAGGAACACGAAAATCGGACTTTTATTTAAACTTATCAAAAGAATACGCGCATCACTACCAACTTTTGTTTAATTATTGATACCTTAAGTTATATAATATAAAAAATCTTTTGTTTTCGATCTATGTGACGTTTTTTTAAATCAAGGTTGTGGTTATTAAGATATTTGCAATAAACAAGTAAATTTGAATTATTTAAGACAGTTTTTGACCATTTTTTCATTACATTTCAATGTATTAGATTACCACAAATAAATGGATTTTTATAATTTTAATTCAAGTTTGTAAAGCAAAATTTTCTAAGCATATAAAGATTTTTTTTAAATTTTTCTTAATAATAGTTGTTGTTTAATAAGTGGTATACCGTTACTGTCCCGCCTTGCTGGGTGTCCCGCCTTGGTGGTGCCGACCTGGCTGCGCCAGGTCGGGATTTTTTACAAATTAAATCCAAGGTAACCGACGATTATCGCGAGACGATCCGCTGTTAGTAGTATATTTTGGCAGCAGGGTCAAGATCCTCTCCACCGAGTCGAGATGTTAGAACTAGTCCGATGTTTTCATCGAAGGAGACGATTTTGGATGTGTCGAAAGGAAAGTACTACTAGAAGTATACTCGTTGAGTGAGTGTTTATACGTATAGATAGTTTATATACCTAGTTATAATAGTAGCTGCTATAGTGTGAAAGGAGTTCTAATACGCTACGTCTTAGGCGTAAGTACGTAGTACGTAGTATTATCCTTCGAGGGGAGGGTCATCAAGGGGGTTTATCATAGGAACTACAACTTTTGTTGAAGCATTTTCGAAAGGTAATAGTAGTACTTATGCTTGTACCGTGGTGTACGAAAAATCCGCATTCGCTTACATACGCCGACTAAGACTGAAAGGATATACTACGTAAAGAGGCCTACTTAAGCGAGCCGACGACTATTTAATGTTGTTATTATAGGGGGGGTATAAGGAGGAGAAGAGGGGTTTAGTTTTTTAAGTTGTGTGTAATGTGGATTGGATTAGATTGGAATGGATTTGGATGGGATTATTTTCCGATGGGACTACCTATCTAGAACGAGACGAGACTATTTCTAGATACTCCTTGAGAAACGGCGGATCGACGGCTTACTGATGGCCAAAAGGGGGTTTCGGTAGAGGAAGAGGGACGGTTACGGATACAGTAACTACTTGTAGCCGTACTGCGCTGAAAGGAGAAAAGAAGAGGGGAAGTAAATGTAGAAGTAAATGTAGAAGTAAATGTGGAAGTAAACGTGGAAGTAAATTTGGAAGTAAATGTGGATTTGGATTTGCTCGAGGGGCGAAAGACAAGAGTTGGCTGCATCGCATCTCGAGAGGCTACTGCGACGCAAAAAGTGTATCGTGCGGTACCGCGAAGTCCGCGAAACTCTGGCCCCGGTGCTTGCGGATGGCCCGTGGTTCAGCTTTGCGGCCGGGCGAAAGCTTGGGGATTGCATTTCGTCCTGTAGGTACTGTGCTATGCTGTGCTGTGCTGTGTCTCTTCTACATGATTTGAAAAAGTGTATTCCTCTAGGTGGAAAGTATCGCGGCGGTACTGTATTTGTTTGGTCGATGGTTTTGTTGTTTAATGCCTCGGAAATAGCGGTGTTGCATACTTCCCTCGCCTTACCGAAGCCAGCTGCCGCTCTGTGCGAGAGAAAACCATCAGTGATGCCGCTTATACTTTTTTCAGTGATGTCGATGTATCTACGTAGTAGTACTACGTAAAACTAGTTATCGTAGCAAACTCTTTGAAATAAAGAGGTAAGTAAAACGATTGGAGCATGTACTACGTATGCTTCCTTTGGTATACCGATACCGTAGCCTTTGGATTTCTAAGGTTGTAACGGCGGCACTACGTGCACGTATCTTTAAAAAAGGATACGTACATAGTATCTTCTATGAGTCCTTTGGTTATTGAGACACTTGGGCTCTTATCAAGCGTAAGCCGCGGCTATACACAGTTGTATCATGCTAAGGTAGCGCGTGTATAGCATAGCTGTATCATACTGTATACTACAGTCTTTTGATCCGGTCGCTCGTAAACAGTTTGATCAAGTGCCGCGTCTTTGAAGAACTTTAGAATATGAAATACTACGTACGTCGTCGCCTTGCTTGATCGCTACGGGTTTCTCTTTAAGAGGCCTGTTATCTGTCTTAAGTTCGAGTTAGTGCAAGGAACACCAGAGGCGAGGGGTAGAGGAATCGAGGAATGTAATACTACTATTCATAAGAGGAAAGAGAGAGTAGCGGTGTTTGAAAGATAAAGTAAGTATCATACTTACGGTACTATTCGTACAAGCGCTCACAGATATGATACATAGACCGGCCTATGATAACCTGCTGATACGCAGACCATTAAGAGGAGGAGGCAGCCAAGCGTAGACTAAGAAAGCAAGAGAATGGGATAAAGGAAGACATTGCGGATAATATCGATAATTACTACGTATCAAAGTATATGAAAGTAATAGCGATAGCAGCTAATACTACTAGCCCTACCGATACTTTAAAAATCGCGAGATCGAATTTGAACATGCTAAACTTAACAGATGAAGCTGTGAGTCTATATACTACGTACTACTACTACGTACTTCCGTATAGCGTATGTAGCGGCATATGGGGTATAGGCTGTGCGGAGGAGGTTTGTTGACTACCGATTCATATGCCATTGTTTCCCCGTTCTTTTATTTACTTTCCCCCTCTTATGAATAAATGTCGAAAGTATAATTTCGCAAGGGATTTTACCAGGCCTTCAACCAATCAACTTACGTAGTACGTAGTATAAGGACTTAGCTTTGAAAAGAAATTTTGAGCTAGTACCACGGTACAGGCCTAAGTATTACCCCTCGAGGGTGCCTTAAAAGTTTAGTTTCCACTTTAAACCCCCTGTTTTCCCTACCCTCGAGGGGTAATACTTACGCCTGCGACGTAGTATTTGGTCTATATAGCGGAGTTGACAGGGCTTTGAGCCATTCAGAAACCACCGCTCTATGATTTATGGGCCGAAACTGGGTCCGACATTTATTCATGGGGAGAGTATAGGAATTTTTGGCTTTATGCCAGCAGCATCAGTACTTACTACTAAGTAGTACTAGTAGTAGTAGCAGAATGATTTGTTGGTTCAACGTCACTTCGTATGGGACCCCTGGCCAGACCTTTTCACCGGAGTAGGTACTACGTAGGTACTGAACGACCGATCGAGGCCCCGCCAGGTACGAAGTATCTTTGTCTCCGGTAAAGATACCGATCAAAAGAAGGGTAATGCTTCTAATCGATTCTACTAGTATACGAAGGGATTGCACGTTTTTATTCGACCTGAGAAGCAGATGACTCAGTGTGAAAAGTCACATAATCGAAAATGGATTTTTCTACAGTTGGTAAGTGGTTGTATACGTGCCTTCATCGGCCACTGATTTCTCCGGTGGAGAGAGAGAGAGAGAGAGACCTCACTCGCCAAGCGCAAAGACGGGCACGGGATATACTTTCCAAGTATACGGTATACTTTCCAAGTATACGGCGACGTATTCTTGAGGTGATTCTGGTAGTATTTATTTGAAGCTGATCGTGCATCTGCCAAGCGGTAGAAGGTTTACGTGCTACTACGGACTTCAGCCTTATCAGCTCTATACTCCGTACCGTGATACGAGTATATAAAGCCTTCCTCATCCCGCAGTCTGATCATTGATTATTCTCCCAGCTCCATCTTTCAGATCATCAATTTGTCAAAAAAAAAATCAGAATACTCTATCAACCTCTCTACATTATCAAAATGGTCTCCGTCAAATGCTTGCTTACCGTGCTCTTGTAAGTGGAGGAGTGGCTTGCTCATCCAACCAATCTTTAGAAGTCTTGTATAGCGATATCTGAATAGTCAGCTTGCTAACTCGGCGTATTCCTCTATCTAGTATCTCTGCAGTGAGCGCAAGGAACCAAAACTGTACATGTGGATCTAATACTTCCGAAACCCAAGCCGTCTGCAAAACACTCGATAAAACAGTCGCAAGCTTCGGTTCCGGGAAGGTAAGTGATTTAGCACCTATTCGTAAATCGAACAAAGTCCCTTCTTTTGTCTTTTTTTTTTTTTGTTTCCAAATATCTCAATCGAACGGCAAACCGCTTGATATATATATACAAATGCTAATACCCATCTCTCATTCTGAAGTGCACTGTCACTACTCAAGATGCCGCCAATTCCTTCGCGCAAACATGCATTCGTCGCAACAATAGTGACGAGTCAGAATGCGTTCCAGCTTGAGCGCCTGCCGATCGACGGACAGACGGCCTTTCTCAGATGGAAGGATGGATGGATGCAAAGGACTTCGAACGTGCGATAGTGGTGGTCTTTGTAGCCAGCTAGCCGGCCATACTCGTTACCGTCAGCGAGCTGGACGATGAAAGGCTGATTGATAGGTACGGAGCAACCCGCTGGAAGGGTAGGAATTTATGTATCGATATTACATAAATATAAATATAAATATATATATATATATATATAAACACATTCTTTTTTCTATTAGATTCGATCAGTGGGTAGCGGCAGCGGGAAGCGGCAGCGGGAGGCCTTGGGAAAAAGGGGGACGGGATTGGGGATTGGATTGGATTAGAGACCCGAAGCTATGTTTCGTGGATAGGTACCGTAAGAGGTTCAGGTACCTGCGATGTATATATAGAAATATGTATAGTGATGTATATGTATATATATAGATATATAGATATATAAATGTATATATATATATACCTATATATATACTTTATTTCCTCTACTGCATCGTGATTAGGTAAGTACTCAATGGGCAATGGGCAATGGGCAATGGGCAATAGGCATTGGGTACGTTCCGTAGACCCGATCAAATGATCCCAGCAACCTCAGCCTCAACCGCAACCCAACCAAATCCAAATCCAAATCCAAATCCAAATCCAAATTCAAGTTCAACCCCATCCAATCATTCCCTCGTCCAATCAATTCCAAACTCACCCAACCCACGCTGTTCTAGCCTCGAGACTCGAGAACTCGACTCGACTCGACGGGTATCACGTTTCGGTCCATCCACCTAACCTAGGTACCGGCCTAATCGTCGGCTCGCTTAGGTGGGCCTCCTTTCATCCTTTCAGTCTTAGTCGGCATAAGCGATTGCGGATCGGAAGCGAATGCGGATTTTTTCGAATATGTTAGAAATTCTTTAATACTATAGCATTTACTATTACAACAAAGAAATATTTACATGAATAATTAATCGTCTGTTATACCGTCTTCCGAAATATCTAAAATCGTATCATCCGATAAGATATCTAACCATCGATCATTATTTTCATTAGAATTTAATTCGTCTCTTACCTTTCGCAACGAATCGTTTGAATCTCTACTACTATTAGAATTAAAGCCATCGCTATCGATATTAATACTAAGAAAAGGAATAATATCTTGCTTTAAAGAAAGGTCTCCGGTAGTATCGGTTATAATCATTAGATTATCATCACCGAGAAAAGGTTCAGGTTGAGAAAGAGTTAGTCGAGAAATACTTTTTTTACAAGGCCGCAAAATTTAACGTTTAAGAAGTTGTTGCATCCACCAAATCTCTTTCGAATCGAGAATTAGAATGAGTATTGAATCGTCGTCTTCAATAATTAAGCTTGCAGCAAAGCGTTCTCGTATAGTCCTTTTGCGCTCGCGTTCAGCTTTGCGTAATTCGACTCTTTTACGATACTCAGCATCTCTTTCCTCTCTTTAAAGCTTGTCGACGATTCGTTGTTGTTTTGCAGCAGATTCAAGATTTGCTTTAGCTTCTTGCTTAGCAACAAGCTTATTACCAACTTGAGATGTTAAGCTTTCGGTATGATAAAACCATTTGCGACTTTTTGTTTTGCTTTCTAGTTAGTCTTTTCGTTGTTAAGCGAAAATAGCTAATTCTTGTTCTTGTAAAGTAGCTTTTACTGCAACTTCTCGAGTACCTTTCATGTAAGATTCGAATTCTTATCGAGAAAGACTATTTAATAACTCGTTGCATTTATTTTGCCACTTCTACGAGCTGATTTCGACATGCGCTAGTTTCCGAAGAGTACGAGGAAGCTCTAGCTCGTCTTTGTTTACGTATTCGAGAGGCGTAAAGGTCTTGAGATTTTTTAAATATTGCGTTGCGTTCGGTAGGTACATTCTAGACTTCTTCTAAGCTTTTTTGATATTGTATCGACTGAGTGTTTGATTGCGAATATAGTCGAGATCGTTTAAGAAAGAATTGATTGTATACTCGACGTCGAGCTGTGTAAGCGCAGCTTTAATCGCTAAGTCGTAGTAATGCTTATAAGGTTGGAAAATCCTTACATCAAGAGGTTGCATGCAATGAGTGAGGTAAGGAATCAACGGGTACGGTAGAATGTGATTTTTATTAGCTAAATTAATGAATTCCGGAGTCCGGTGGCTAGCGTGATTATCCATCAACATAAGCTTCCAAGGTTTATTCGGTCCACAATCTGCGTTTTTGATATAATGCTCGAGGTATAGCAATGCGATTTTATTATCCGTGAATCCATTATCAGCTTCTTTAATGAGTGTGCTTGTAAGAAGGTTCGAAACGAACCATTGCTGCATAAGTCGTTTGCTTTGAATAAGAATCATTAAAGGAATAGGTTTTTGGCTAGTCGCATTGATCATCTCGATTATTGTTACGGATCTTCGATTCTTAAGGCTAACACTATAGAACTATATATAAAAATTAATATATAATATTAAATAAATTATATAATACGATATAGCACGACATACCTCTTGAATAGATCCAGGAACTAATACTTCCGTTCTTCGCGGACAGCCAATACGGAACCCAGTCTCGTCGAAATTGATGATATCTTTAAGTCGAATATTCATCTTCTTCAAAGTGCGTCGATAGCTTTTGAACCACTTGTGTACCGCGTTCGTGTCTTGCGCTGATATTCGGATTCGAGCGAGAGGTTTGGTCTTGATTTTATAAAGGCCACTCGTTTTCTACCACTTTGTAAACCAGCTCCAGCTCTGCGGCTTCGCGTATTCATCGTATGTTTTGCGTAAAGCGAATATAACGTTATAGATCAATTGCGGTGTAGGAGTAAGCCAATTAGCAAGGAGCTGAACGATGAATTAGCGTAACGCGTTGATATGCTAGCTTTGCAAGATCTTATTTTGACCGCCGCGCTTGCGATTTTTCGATCGCTTGAAGTGACTGTTCAATGTGCGCTCATTAAGGTCGTATATACGCGCAGCAGTTTTTTGAGTCTCTTGAAGGTATTCGGACAAGAAAGTTGTAGCGCGTTAAAGACGCGTCGCAAGATCTTCAATTGCATTAGGACTACCTGGTTGAGCGTGGCTTTTGTATTGAAAAATCCTTGAAGGCTTTTTCGAGCGAGTGCGTTTTCGGCCCATAATTGATTATAGAATGCGATTGAATTGTGCGGTGGTGGATCAAAAAATAATATTGTAAATTGTATTTTGTATACAAAAACTGGTAGCAAAATAAAAAAATCCGCATTCGCTTCCGATCCGCAATCGCTTATGCCGACTAAGACTGAAAGGATGAAAGGAGGCCCACCTAAGCGAGCCGACGATTACCTTGACCTGACTTCTTCCCACTTCCCATACCAACACTCACTCACTCACTCACTCACCCACCCACCCACTCACCCACCCACTCACCCATACGCATCCTCTCTCGTCTCTCCCTCTCGAAAAAACAAGAAAAAAAAAAACAAAGAAAAAAACAGATATATCCTCCTGCCTCCCTTCCGTCGGTGGCAACAGCAACAGCAGCGGCAGCAGCACCAGCACCATCGCTCGCTCACGGTTACGGTTACAGTTACAGCTACACGCGGCACCGGACCTGGCCTAAGAGAGGGAAACACCACCCAACACAACCCAGGGGAAGAAGCTTCAACCGACCGACCGACCGACCGACCGACCGACCTGTACCACCACCACGTATCCGTACTGACTGAATCACACACGGTCGATCCATATCCACGTCGGGAACCGCAGGAATTCCATTCACTCCTTTTCGCGCGCCCGAGCAGAGAGAGAGAGAGAGAGGAGGAGAACAGTCACAGTCACAGCCACAGTCACAGATCAACAATCAACAATCAACAACCACGCACCCGTTGCCGCATCCATCTTACATACATACCGGTACATACTCGACTCTCTCGAAACGTCCGTCCTCAAACACGGGCGCAATTTCCAAGTCACGCAAGCACGGACGGACCCGTCAACAATAAAGTCGCAGCCGCCTGGCGGATTGACAATCTCGAGACGGCCCCACCGGCAACACCGACAGAGACACCTCACCCCATAACACATAACACATAACACATAACACATAACATCCCCCCATCCCCCACCTCCCCCCCCCCCCCCAAAACGAGTGGGTGAGCATCAAACATCCCTCCTCCACCGTCTCACGGTGTAATCCGCACGCCTCGGAACGACCGGAATAGATTCCCACCCACGAGAAGCGACAGGAAGAAAACATCCCTCGACCCAAGATGAAGGGCCTCGCCGTCGACCACCTCGTTTTCGAGCAGATGTTCCCCAAACCCAAAGCGACGGATCCGCAAAACTTCCAGGGCCTGCTCCAACGCCAGCTCGTCCCGGAGGTCCGGCTCGAGACACAGGCGTTCTACGGCCATCTGTCGTCCCAGGAAGCCAAATACCCGGGCCTCGATTACTCGTACAAGCCGCATCGCGTCCGCCTCTCCCGCTACCCATGGCACCGACGCCTCTTCCGCGCCTTTGATAGTCTGGGCCTGACGAAATCTGAGATTGCGAGCTTGACGAAGTGGGAGGGGACGCGATGGGCAAAGGAGCGATTTGAGCGCGAGCAGGGCATTGTGATCAAGGATACGACGGCTGATGGCATCATGGACTGGGTCCCTCCGGAACTGCGCAGATCAATCTCGCAGCAGGCACACCATGCCGATATCGAGGTCATGGACGATGTTCAGGAAGGCGAGGAGACGGAGGACAACGAGGCGGAGAACGAGGAGATGGATGAGGATGGCGAGGACTCGGATGCGGAGCTGCAGAGCGTGGGCACAGAGTTGAATGAGCGGCTGCGGGCTGCCGCGGCACAGCGGGAGGCCGGGCAGGACACCGTGATGGATGAGGAATGGGAACAGTGGTTGAAAGAGACGGTCGAGGCTGGGGGCCTCCCCTTTCTCTCTGCCGACCTGTCGCCCCATGCCAACATCCCCGGTACGAGACCCGCGTTTGACAGCCCACACCTGCCCGCCAGCATCTTGAACGCAGCGCGATTGGGGCAGTGGGATCATATCCCGGATTACCTGCACAACTACATCCGCCGCGAGATGGAAGCCAACCGCCGCCGAATGGAAGATGCACCGATCACCTCTTCGACACCGTCCTCTTCTGCCTCGTCGACCAACGGCAGTGGCCCACTTGCGTCCACGAGAACTCTCCCAATCCCGACCCCGACGACTGCTGCTGCCCCCAGCTCCCGGGTCGTCTCGCCCTTCACCTCCAGAACGCTTCAAGGCCGACAAGATCTCTCTGGCCACTTTGTTCGAAGCGGCACGGGCAGTCCCCGCGCACGCCCTGCAATCCCAGCACCACCAGCGCTCGCGCTCGCGCGCCTGCAAGGTCGTTCTTCGGAACAGATCTCCCGGCGGACGATGATGTCTGTTGATCGAAGAACCCCAGCCATGTCGGTGCATAACGCTGCGCGAGGTAATCAACCCGGAACTCATCCCTAACCTCGTCCCCGATCCGGCGAGAGGGGAGAACGGGCCCGTGGGTCTGGGGGTGCGACCGGCACGGATGATGATCATTGGCTGGCCAGTATACCTTGCTCCTATACTAGCTAACCTTCTTGGAGCGTTTCTGTTTTTGCTTTGGTCTTGTGAAGTTGAGTATAGGTGCACGGGTGGCGTTGTTCATTAGCATGGCGTCTCACTGGGCTTCTTTCGTAACCTGCTAGAGGGGAAATGTGTCATGGTATTCAGAAGCACGGGTTACAAAGTCTTTTTTTTTTTTTTTTTTTTTTTCGCTGCAGTTATTGTTGGGGATGGATAGAGAGAGAAAACGGTGGGAAGGGTGTTGCCAGTACTGTACTCGTACGGCTACTGTGCAATGTGGTGGGACGAGATGCGACGAGATGAGGACAGCGGGCATGCAGGCCGGTCTTGTGGGGGTCGGCTTTGGCTGGATGGTGGTACATATGGAGCTCTTGTCTTGGTTCGAAGAAGAAAAAGAAGCATGGAAGCATGAGTTTTAATGTTGCTAGCGGTGCGTTACTTGCTGGCCTGGCTCGAACGACGAAGTTTTGAAAGATCTTTTGGGAGAAGGGAAGGGGAAAGGGGGGGAGGGATAGGATGGGATAGGATGGGATAGGATGGGATGGGATGGGATGGGATGGGATGGGGAGGAGTTGTGGAGAGGGTAGCAAGAAAAAAATGTAGCTTTTTAGTTATTTGGCTGGGCGGACTGGCTGGCTGGGCTGTGGAATTACGATGAGCTTTTAACCTACCTACCTGCATGCTTTTTTTCCTTCTTTTCTCTCCTTTCAACTACCTAAGTAGGTAGGTAGTCCTCCACGTTGTTCTAATTCGATCTTCCATTCATCTCTCCTTCTCTCCTCGTGCATTTGTGTAAATCCACAAGGAGGTAAGTAAGTAAATACAACGCTTAACTAACGCCAGAGTATCAAAAGTATCAAAAGTATCAAAAGTATCAAAAGTATCAAAAGTATCAAAAGTATCAAAAGTATCAAAAGTATCAAAAGTATCAAAAAAAAAAAAATATATCAATGAATGACCAACCAAACCCCATCGTCTTCCGAGCCCTTCCGCGTACAGTAAAGTAAGTACAACCTTCGAACACTGAAGGCACCACCAGTGCAGCGATTCTTTGAAGCTTGAAGCTTTGGGTTTGGGGTTTGGGGTTACTTGTTACTTGTTGAGGGAGGGAGGGAGGGATGGAGAGAGAGATACGGAAGTGATGAGAGACTTTTTTATTATCATTTTGCATTCAGTGCGCCTGTCTGGCTGCCTCTGCCTCTGCCTCTGGTTACTCGATACCGTTGATTGCGTAGCCATTGCAACCCCCCCCACCAACGCCATCGCTGCAAAAAAAGAAACCGTCCTATTTCCCTTTTGGAAATATGTGAATCATGGACCTGGAAGTGAATTGAAACCAGCGAAATCCTAGGACGCCATCTGAAAGAAGAAAGAACCCCCCCCCCTCCCACCCCCCAATCTCTCTGCCTATGCCTATGCTATCTATCTACGGCTCCAGGTGCGACCACTCCGGAATGGACTTGATCTGCTGCCACATGAACTTCTCGAGCTTGTTCGCACTCTTGGCATAGGGCGTCGTCTCGTTGTTGTACTTCCTGCAGTTGTCAAAGACCAACTTGGCATCGCGGATGAACTCTTCCGGCGTCGCGTAGTTATCCGCTTCGAGCTTGCGCTCCATCGTGCTCAGATCCATCGGCTCCTTGATGACCTCGTAGTAATCGTGCACCTCCTCCGAGTTGACCGGGTGGTTGAAGGGCCAGGCCGACGCGTGGTTCTGCATGTCGTTCAGCAGGTGCAGCAGCTGGTTGTAGTTGGGCCCGTGGCGAGGCTGGCGTGCGAGCTCGTCCATGTCGGGGGACCAGCCCGAGGCGCGGATGGCGGGGATGCTCATGGGATCGATGGATTTGACGCCGTTCTTCCACTCCGCCGGCGGCTGGTGCACCACGTGGCTCTTGCTGAAGGCGCGGATCTTGGCCTGGACGGCTTCCTTCTGCTTCAGCAGCATGCGGCCTTGTTCGAGGTAGCGGATCCGGGGGAGCATCGAGCACTGCATGATGGTTCCGCCCTCGTAGTCCTTGATGTAGCCCATCCACTTCTCCTTCTCCAGCGTGATGTCCTTGGTGAATCCTTGCTTCTTGAAGTACCCGATGGCATAGTTGTCGGCGTAGGTGAGGAAGTGCATGACGCGCGAGGTGGCGCGGACGTAGTCTTTCAGATGGCACATCAGATGTGCTCCGTAACCCTTGACCTGCTGGTCCGAGGAGATGGCGCAGAAGACGATTTCGGCGAACTGTTGCTTGTGGAAGGGCCGGTAGGTTATCCCTCCCACCACCTCCAGCGGGTGCTTGACGATAGCAATCGATAAGTGAGTCCGGTCATAGACCAGACGCGCTATGTAGTCCTTGGGCATCTTGGGGAGTTGCTTCTGAAAGATGCACTTCAGGCCCGTCAGGATAATCAGGCTCTCTCTCCGATTATCGTTGTTGACCACCCAGAACTCGATCTCCCCGTTGCGCTCTTCTACTACCGCCGGGCGTTCGGGGAATGGGATGATATGGGTCGCGGGCTCCACCGCGAGCGGATCGCTGGTCGATTTCTTGACCCGTTTGCTGTCGCTGGGTGTCCCAGGCTCCTCCGTCGCTTTGCGCTTCATCTCTAATTTCGTAGGACCCATGATGTGAGTCGCAGGGAAGGCGAGATTGGGTTGCGGGCGAGCTCGTAAGTATTTGAAAGTACCCAGTTGGGAGCTGGTACAAGGGGGATGGATGGATATCGGGCTTCGACCGAGGGGGTGGAGGTTATCAGCTGGATAACGAAGTGGAAGAAGGATGCGAACTTGGAACGGGTTAGATGAAGGTGCCAGTGCAGGTGCAGAAAGATGAGGTAACGTCGGAAGAGGTTTCTAGATATGGAGAATCCTGGCTCATCTACCGTGAGCTGTTTGCGATCAGAAATGAACGGAGTTTGCACGATGTTGGGAGCGTATTGATTGATTGATGTCGCCGCCGAGGTTTCAAGCCCGGATCCGGACGAACTGAGAATCAGCGCCTAGCCGAGACAGCTCACAAGGCTGACCGTCAGCCTCGTGAACATTCCTAAAGCATATCCGTCTGGCCGAGGCTACAGCCGTTAGATTAAATACGTATGTATTTATGTATGTATGTATTCATGTATGTATGCAGTACATATGTCCTTAATCAGGAATGTGACAGAACAGAATCTCAACCCTGATCAATGAGCAATGTTTTGGTGATGCTTTGTCCGGAGGGCTCTGTTGCTCTGAGCCTCCGTACACCCCGGCGCTACATTTCTCCGGTGCCGGCCTTAGTTATTCCGAGGGAAGGCCAGCTCGCGACTTTGATATTGACATCCATCGACAGCTCAGCTTCACTTGTGTTCGTCCCCCATCCGCGTCCATTCCCCTCCCAGAAAACCCTCCAGATACCCGCAAATCGAAGCTTATGGAGTCATCACTTCACAAAGTCTGGGAAAGTGCCGCCGGCAACCCATTCGCCCCAACGATCGACAAGGAGAACCATTTCACTGTCGGCTTCTCTCTACTGTCTCTCGGTCTTCTTCTCTGTGGATACTTTGGCCTCAGTAAGCGCCACGATCACGTATCAGATGAACCTCTGCTAAGCCATTCTATAGACAGATCAGTTCTCAACATACCCCTCGTTGGAATTCCAGCTTCATTAGCCATTGCGTACGCAATCTCTCCCCGTATTCAGCGACAGCATCTAACAGTTCCTCTAGCTTTGGTGCAGTCTACATGATCTGCGCAGTAGGCGTCTATGTATGAGGATTGAAGCCCTGGACCCTCCGCGAATCTCCTTCCTTCGCATAAACCGTGTACATAAGTTGTTGAGCAATAGAAGCAGAGGAGATCAGCATACTTCGGACCTTGTGACCCTACCTACTACTTCCCCGAATCTCCAATTACCTCCAGAAAACATGTCTACCCAGGGTGAGCCAAATGTCGGCCCGCCCATTTTCAAATCCGTTTCTAGTTCTGCAAGACAGCTCTTTCAGTTGCTCAACTGCATCCGTTTCGCACCCAAGGCACAAGTTGAAATCAGCCCTGAGGGTATACACTTTGCGGTTGATGAATCCAGGGTCATGCAAGGTTGGCTGACCTACCTGCTGTTAGAACGCCGTGTACTGACATACCTAGGCGTCGTCTTTCTCGACAAAGCTCTCTTTACTTCATTCAACTGCTCTCTCCCCAAGCCAGGCCCAGACGACGCTGATGCTGATGCTGATGCTGAAGCCGAAACGCCAGACAACCCCACTTTCCAAGTATCTCTTGCAGCCCTCCTCGAAACGCTTCAGATATTCGGCGCTGCGGATCCCAACACCGCACGTTTCCTAAAGTCCGATAATGACGGCTACTCCAGCAACATCCGCCCCGGTCGTCCCAATGCGTTCAGTAACCAAGCTCTTGGGATGGCAGGCGTCTGTAGACTCTCATACGCTGGTATCGGATCCCCATTCAGTATTGTCCTTGAAGAATCCGGAGTCACAACTACTTGCAACCTCAATACCTACGAACCCGAGAATCCAGAAGAAATTCCCTTCCAGCTCGATGCTATGCAAGTCAAGATCATAATGCAATCTCGCTGGCTCTTTGATGCCGTCTCGGAACTCAACGCCACTTCTCCTACTCGTCTGGACATAACCGCCTATCCCTCTGCACCATACCTGAGCCTGTCGGCTGTTGGACCCCTCGGTAGTGCAACCGTCGAATTTGCCAAAGGGAGAGAACTGCTCGAGACCTTCACTGTGTCAGAGAAGTGGACCCAGAGCTACAAATTTGAAATGATCAAATCTGCAGCTGAAGTCATGAGATTGGCGAGCAAAGTCAGCTTTAGAGGTGACGAGCAGGGTGTTTTGAGCTTGCAGTTCATGGTCGAGGTTGAGAGTGGCGGCATCAGTTTCGTTGATTTCAGGTTTGTGCCATTTATCCGCGGCGAGGAGGACGAGGGCGACGAGGATGAGGAGAGCGAGAATGATGAATATGCAGATGACGAGGATATGCTTTAGCTAGGACGAGCTATTAATCAATCATATTGCTACGCCCAAGCCGATGTCACACATCCTTTCCGGCAAGCCAACGTCGCCACGCAAAATGAGCTATGCATACATAGCTCAAGGCGCTGGAGATTGCACAGGGATGATGTTGGTGATGAGATGATGAGATGATAATATTATACAGAGGAATATATTGTGTTCGATCGTAAGTTATAGCACCCGCGCTGGTTCCGAAATAGTCCTCCCTGATTGATGGCTTTATCGGATTCAACCAACGTCAGAGGGGGGTGGGGGGTGTTTCTTCTTTTTCTTTTTTGGATTTAGACTATTGGAAATGCCTGATTTCCTGGGGGCTTTTTTTTTTTCTGTTTCACGGCTCTTTCTCTTACAGACTCGGTTAGCCAGCCTTTTTTGTTCTGGTCGACATCGAAAAGACCAGGGAATCGAGGACGAGCTGAGACGAGCTGAGCCGAGCTGAGATGAGATTTATCAAGGAAAAAAAAAATTACAGACAGAAAGATGGAACGAGGCTATTGTCTCTTGATATTTCAAGGGTTGGTTGAGAACTCGAGTTCTCATTTATAATAGCAGGGCCGGGAGGAATGGGTCTTTTTTTTACTTTTTTTTTTTTTTTTTTGAAGTAGATAGATATCCTTCTGATGAATATCTCGCTGTACGTGCTTTACTTATTGTATTCTGTTTATCTATTGACGCATCTTTTGTTTGTCGATATGTATATATGTGTGTGTGTGTGTGTGTGTGTGTGTGTGTGTGTATGTGTGTGTGTATGTGTGGTCTCTAAACAGTGTTGTCAGCGGGCGTATAGGGGATGCAAGGAAAGTAGTTAGGTTTGCCTTCTTTTCTTAGTAAGTGAAGAAGATGATACGGATACAGATGAGGATGGGGATGGATGAATAATGAAAGAGGGGGATTTTCGCGGGATCTTTATATGAAAGTTTGTTCCATTTATAGCGTTTCTTATGCTCGGTTTGTAAAATATATATAAATATATATATATTATCAATCAGATATAACGTAGGGTAGAAATAACGGTTTATATCTGCCTCGCCGCCCCCCTTCCACACACTCTGCATAACATTAGAATTCGGAAGAGCCAAAAAGTGCGCTGTGGCAGGGAAGGGAAGGGAAGGGACAGGAAAGGACCCGTCCAGCCAGCAACGATAGACATCAAAAGTTGCAGACTATTTAATAAGTAACACCGTTGAACTCTAGGTATTCAAGTTGCAACCTCTTTCAACCATTCGTCACCATCTATCCGTATCTCTGGTAACCTAATTTCTAGCCTGGAAGAAAGAAAGGAAGAGAGAGAGAAAGAGAATGGGATAACAACAATGATAATCACAGGCTCTTTATTCCCTATCTATCAATTAAAAATAGATATTATGATCGGAACTCTTGTAATCACAGACTCGCGAGCGGAATTCTCAGCTAGGTAGATTGTACATTGTTTATTGTTCTAATTCTGATTCGATTACGAAGTACACACTTTCGGCTTAATCTGTTGTGACATTTCAGTACTCCCCCGTCTTACTTAGCTGATCTAGCTCAGACGACTACTTCGTACTTTGTAAATATTCGATGTTCCCTTATAGATTGTAGATTGTAACTTTGACCTAGGGTCCGAGTATCCGGGTGGCATATACACACAGAGAGTAAAGTACAATAGATAGACGACAGAGGAACAGCAACAGCAGGACATTTGATCCAACTCCTTTGTTCTCTTTCCTTCTCTTGTCCCAATGATACGCGGACAACGGACAACGATCATTCCTTTCATCTCAATCTCGAGGACAGCTCGAAGCCAAGGCCAGAATTTCGGCGGTATTGTTCTCGCCCAACTGAGAACAATGCCATTCAGGTATTCTATATCATATCGGAGTGGTACGACTTTGCTCTAGCAATCACTCTCCCAACTAGAAATTTTCCTTCGACGAGCTTACTGACGCAGTTACGCTACACTGAAAAAACACATACTTTAGCCAAACCACAAATATCAACAAACAAACAACCGTCACACATACGCATACACGCCGGCACTTTCAAAAAGATGTGCATCAAGAACTTCGCCAGCTACCGTTGCGGTTGCACCATCTTCAGTCACCTCACCCTCTGCGACAGAAACGACGGCAGCTGCGAGCGGCCCTGGGCCGCGCCCGACCCAGCCAACTGGTCCATCCGCAACAGCGCATTCCTGTGTCCGGGCTGCTTCCGCCGGAGCCAACCCGAGAGGCCCAACGTCTACCAGCCACGCCTCAGCGCCGAGCAGGTCTCCGCGCGCGAAGCCATGTTGGAAGACGCCCGAAACCAGATCCGGGACCTGGAGCTCGAGAAGCAGCAGAGGGAACTGGACGCGCGGATCCGCGAGCTGGAGTTCGAGAGGGCGCTCGCCGAGCGCCAGACGCAGGTTCGGGTGATGGAGCACGTGGAGGAGATGGAGGCTGCTGAGAGACGCATGCAGTTCCTGCAGGCGGGAGTCGAGCTCCGCGCTCTCGATCGAGAGGTCGAAGAGGAGGAGGAACACCTCAGTCGGTTTCGGGCGCAGCAAAGCTCCGCGAGACGAGCGCAGGAGCTGCAACGAGAGAGAGAGGTGAGTGGTGCTGAAAGTCACATCCGGGCGCTCGAACACCAGGAAAAGATGGCGGGTCTTAATGAAAAGCGTAGGTACCTGCAGGCGGGTTTGGAGTCGAGAGCTCTCCAGGAAGAGATCGATCAGGAAGAAGGGGAAGCTAGTCGCTCCCGGTCGTCGAGGAGCAAAGGCCCGTGAGTGAGATGCCTCAACTCAACTTCTCGGCTAAGGTACCGGTAGGTTGGTGATGTACGGAGTGCATACTGTGAGAGATATGTGATGATAATAGGTTAGTTACACCGAATCGATCTTTTCCACAATACTTTTTTCGTATTTCCCAATAATGCACATTGTGTATGGACGTAGACCGTTGTTGAACTTGAGAGCTGTACTCACCTCCAATTGGAACCAGATTTTGACATGTCGCCCCGTGCCAAAGAACAGTCCTAACACATCAAACGGCAGCCATCTCCACCATGGTTTGGCCTCCCCCTCAAGTTTCACGGGTGTGTCAGCTGGCGACTTCAGGATAACCATCCCTCGACTGGAAAAACTACTACTAACGCCATAATTTTCATCATCTAATTTTTCCCTGCTGGTAACTGCTCACCTTCCTCCCTGCCCAGGCGGCAATGGATCTGTAGCTTCAACAGCCGGACGACAATAATGCCCAGGATTTTTTGGACCAGACTCGAGGTTTGTTAGATGGAGTTTTGACTTGTGTAAGTTTAGGACTGCGGTTCGAGCTTCATGCTTTGTCTATACGTGTGTGGTCACTGACTTGAAAACCAAGCAGTTGGCCTGCTCGTTGTCGATCTTCTTTTTCCCACTTCCAGGAAACATATCATTCAATTTAATCGGTCTCGTAGCCAGAGCGAGTGACCAGCAGCCATGGCCGAGCCTAAGGTTACCTGGGGAGGTTATTTTGCTTCTTATGTGAGGAAGAAACCTCCTGCAGAAGCACCGGTAGCGACAGCGGCGCCCAAAGATGATGGTAAGGCACCACCACCCAATGTACTTAATCCCGTGGATATATCTGCTGGCCAAGAAACAAAACCGAAGACGGCCTCGGTAAAGAAACCGTCGGAGGGATTTCAACGCTCGACTTCAGGTACGAAGAAGCTCTATGCAATCCCTAAGGAACCAGTGGTATCGGAAGCCTTAGCGGTACAGAGGTCTGCGTCAAACGCATCGAGACTGGCGAAAATGTTTGGATATTCGGGCAATTCGTCGGCTCCTCCAGAACCAGAAAAGATTGAAGAGCTACCGGTCGCGCCGCTTATTGCTATGGTCGAAGCACAAGAAATAACCGAGAAATTGTCAGCTGCGCCGATTAGAAATGTGCCAAAGCCGGAAATGATGCCAACCGTCGAAGCGGCGCTGCAATACACGAAAAAGGACACCGTGGTACCAATCATTCAAAAAACGAGGAAGGATGACACTCAAGACATGTTGGATTATTTTGCCAGGCAACTCGAAACACCAGTGGACGAAAACTCTACCTTAGCCGGCAAGAAGAGGTTCGATACACCAGAGAGCAAGGCGATAGATACGATCGTCGTAGAGAAACCGGCACAGACACCCGTTAGGGCCAAACCGAAAGCGGTAGATATGTTGGATTTCCTCGTAAACCAGCTCGACTCTCCCAACGACAATCTGGCTTCGGCCAGTGGTAAAATGAAAGAGGATTCCAGAGTCGTCAATGAAACAAAGCCGACTCAGTCTAAAGCCAAGGCATTAGACATGCTTGACTTTTTCTCAAGTCAACTGGATTCGATCGATCCAAAACCAGCCCCACCTGCTACCAAGAAGACCGATGTCCCGGGGGCTTTGCCAGCACAGACAGAAATGCCTCCCATCACCAGAAAGGACTCAATGTGGAGTCGACAAGGTTCTGCGACTTCTTCCGAACTGAATATGGTCATGAAGGGCCGTAAAATCTCTGATCCCCGTCCACAAAGCTCAAGCAAACCTGTCGAGGTGAGCATGGAAACACGCAGGACACCGTCAAGATACGGGGTTGGTGACGAACAGCTCAGGCTCGAGCGCGAGCTCATGGAGGCAGAGCGTGAACGTATGCTCCAGCTAGAGAAACAAGCTGAGATAATCATTTCCGAGAGGGAACAGATGGATCTAGAACGCCAAACAATGCTAGAGGAGCAGGCGCGATTTGACGAGGAGGCAAAGCGAATAGCGGAAGAGGAGGAATCTATGCGTAAATTTATAGAGAATGTGGAAAGGGAAAGGCAACTGGACTTTGAGAATCAGGAAAAGAAGCGGATAAGAAGGGAGGCCGAAGAGGCCGAATTGAGGAGAATTGCAGCAGAACAGGAAGCTGAGAGACTGAGGATACAGATGGAAGAAGAGGCTGAACAGAGGAGGATTGCAGCAGAACAAGAAGCAGAGAGGTTAAGGATAAAGATGGAAGAAGATGCCCGGAAGGAAGCTGAACGAGTCAGAATCAAAGAGCAAGATGATGCCCGGAGAGCGGCCGAGATTGAGGCCAAAGAGCTGGCAAGGGAGACCGAGCTAGAGAGAAGACGAGCCGAGAATGCAAATAGAGAGGAGGCTGATCGACTTGCTGCGGAGACGAGAAGATCTGAGGAGGAGGCCGAACACCTATATTACGAGGAACAGGAGAGGATAGAAGAAGCTGCCGGGCGGCAGAGCCGTGCTGACAAGGAAAGAGAAGAGGAAGAACGCTACGAAATCGCACTTGCGGACGAAGAGGCACGACTCCGCGAAGTTGACAGGCAAAAGCGACGCGCAGCACAGCTCGCCAATTCCGAGGTCCAGGCTCGCGCGGATGAAAGAATCGAAAGGGAAACTAGGCGAGCGATGGCCGAGAAAGCCGACAGAGCCTACGAGCAGGAAGAAGCTGAGCGCGCCCGGGCTGTCGGGGCTGACAGGCTCGCCGATGCCTACAAATTCGATATGGATGTGACCGGTCAGCCAATGATCAGCCCGTCCGTGTACGAGGATGAGCTGTACGAGGACGAGTCGGACGAGGATGAGAAGAACGAGGATGAGATGGAGGAGGATGAGATGGAGGAGGATGAGATGGAGGAGTATGAAGAGGAAGAGCGCGAGGAAACCAAGGAGGAGAAGCTGCAAAAGGCAGAAGAGAAGATCCGCCTGGCCTTTGCTGGTATGGCCGAGGAGCGAGCACGACAACCCTCGGCAGCAATTCCAAGTCCGAACCCGATTCGAGAGGATACACGAATGATGAGAAATGATAGAATGCCGATGCCGATGCCGATGCCGATTCCGACAGCTGGGAGGAATTTGAACGTCGGAAACCAGAATGCAAGGCCAAGGCCAGATGTCGGGGGTTCACGATTCAACACCGCTGGGGGTGCAGGTGCAGGTCCAAGAGCAGGAGCAGCAGGTCCCCGGCCTCCAATCCGTGGCGGCTTGCCGAGTGGACCCAGAGGTGGTGGAGGACTACCAGGTGGCCCCAGGCCAAGGAGATAGTAGCGAATTAATGTATGTTGTTCCAATGATCTTGCGAAGATTCGTAAACTTCTCGTATCGTGCCTAAAGTATGGCGCATCGTCAAATATTATTTCCACGATTGCAAACCAGCAGTTTTCCGACTCGGGGTGGTTTGGCGGACGTAGTGGCCAACAGATATCGAAGAGCCCCCTAAACCTCAAGGGGCTCCCAAGCAGGAGTCCGGATTATTTTCAATGTCGTTCATTCGTATAAGCATAAGGCTAAGCGCTAAATGCGATGTGCCTATGGCGGGGTATCAGCTCGTGAAAATGAGGAAATTGTAACAATGTTGCAACCATCAGGCAAAGCAACCACACATCAAGTCGTGTCTAGCAACAGAGACATCCACAAGATTCTAGATCCATCTCTGCTCCTCTCTGTCGTAGCCAATGATGTCCAGGTTAACGTTCAATGTCCTCAACATCATAGCCATAGTGAATTCCTGCCAATGTCAGTAAATACTCAGCACTGCTGGATGAGACGAACTCACGTCCTCTTGGCCGGGAAGCTCTCCAGTATCGCCAAGACCCTTAACACGCTGCGACTTCTCGTTCTCCGTCTCCGGATCGATGCTGTACTCAGCATAGATATCCCTCTTCTCCACATTCTTCTTCTCACCGTCGTCGCCATCATCGGAATCGTTGTTCTTAGCTGGTTCTTCCTGGTCCCACGAGTTCTGATGCTCCGCCTGCTTCTTCTGCATCTCTTTCCAGGCTCGTGGACCACCCATCCTGAACCTCATGAGTATCCATCCCTATGCCACCAAGCGTAGCAGACATACCTGTTAACCCTATCCCTCACTTTTCCAAACAGCTCCTCGGCAGCCAAGCGACTAGCCCCCTTCCACTTCTCAATCAATTCCACCAGCTCCGCATCAATCTCACCCTCTGGATCCTTCTTCTCGCTCTCCGCTTCAATCTTCCGTGCCTGCTCCGCAGTTTCCAACGCCTCCTTGACCTCCTTTAGCTGCTTCTCCAGCTCTCGCTGCGCACGCAGCATCTGAGCAATATCTGGGTCGGCATTGAGCGCAGCTGCGGCGACGGGCGACGTGAATGTCTTCTTGCTGCGGGGTCCGCGGCTTGGGTTTGCCGATGGAGGTGGCAGGCTTGGAGTCTTTGCTGGGTTCGAAAGCAGGGAGTTGCTGCTCTTGAGGGCGAGCGGTGTGCTGCTTTGAGCTGAAGCTCTAGCCGGAGCCCGTGTATTGGTGGTGTCTTGAGATGCGTCGTCTTTCGCGGGGGACTTGAAGGGCGTCTTGAAGGGAGAGCGAAAGGGTTTGGAAAGGGTTTGGGAGGCGACGTCGATTCTGCGCCGCTTAGCTGCCGGGGTGGACATCTTGAAGGTGTTAGTGCTGGTCAAAGGTAAGTCATAGATCAATTGTTGTGGAGCACTGGTGGGTGGGCTTGAATTGGTGTTCAGGACGTTGAAGTCGCGAGCCGGGCTTCACGAGGCTGAAAGTCTGGGCAGTACTGGGATGGTCAGGTGACCGTGGATCGCGAGCGCTGTATTCATTTCATTAACTCTACACGCTTAACCATACATCCAACCCAACTCCATTTTCAATGACCCACGCCGCCCGCAACCCACTGCCCAAAATCAGGATCTCCAGGCTGAGGGAAGAGACCATTGTCCGGCTGGGGCTGAGGTTGGCCATCTTGAGCACCATTCTGTGCTGCCTCGGCTTCCTGTCCTCTTCTATGTGCTAATTGACGTTGCTGGCGGTAATAGATCAAACCAACAAGAGCCCCTGCCAACACAATAATAGCAAGGCTCTCCAATAGCCCATCGTCGATCATATTGTCATACATGCCATCTGCATCACCTCCTGGCATGGGATCGGTATCTGGGAGATAGTTGTCGTCGTAGTCGGCATCGCCGTAATACATATGGTCGTCTTGGAGGAAGTTGGTGATCCATTCAGAGAGGGACCATTGTTTCTTTGGTGCTACTTTTCGTTAGTAATTTCTAAGAATCGGCGGGTCTCGTTTCTTACTTGGCTCGTCCTGAATGGAGTTGATCCTGCCATGTGTGAGAGTATTCCAAGCACTTCTAAGCCGTAACTTAAATAGGCTCAGTGTCACAGGCAGGTATGCCTCCTCGTTCGTCTCCAACGCAAGGTCATAGTATCGCTTCGCAAGATGGAAGTCCTGAGTGAGACCAACGCCATTCTCATGCATCCAAGCGAGGTTGTAGAGAGCTTGTGCACTCTGGTGATATTCGCAAGCTGCCGTGTAGCATGAAGCTGCTTTCTCATAATCTGCCTGGGTGCCGACACCTTTCAGGTAATAATCCCCCATCTTCACCAACGAGTCGATGTTTGACTGCTTGGCGGATCTCGTCCAGTATATCAGAGCTAGTGCCCCATTCTTGAGGAGTTCAGGTCGTGAGATCGAGCTGGGCGATAGCCATGACGGCAGGGTCCATTTAGATTTTTGCTGGTCAAGTAGGTAGGCAACATTTGCTTGTCCCTTCTCGTAACCTTGTTCGGCAGCAAACATGTAGTCGATCAAAGCCAGCTCATGATCGCCGTCTTCAAAAGCTTCATTGGCTTCGGCAAACGAAGAAAGGAGAGGCTCGGCCTTCTCTGCGACACTCTTGTAGTACGCCGCAGCGAGTCCGCAACTTCTTTCCCGACCAATGCCTTGCTCGATGAGCTCGGCCAGGAAGTAAAATGCTTCAATATGGCCATATCTAGCGGCCAGTTCAAAGTACTTACTGGCAACCAAGACATCGCTTGTTGTGCCTTGGTCCAGATACAAGGCTCCCAGAGCAACCTGAGCCGGCGAATAGTCCTGGTCTGCCGCAGCTTTGAGGTACTCTGTCGCCCTCATGACGTTTCTCGGGACACCTAGTCCTTCCAAATACATGAGCCCCATCCCATACTGGGAACCAGCGTCGCCACTCTTGATACCTCGCTGAAACCAGATTTGGGCCTTTTCGAAGCTCTGCTCTACGCCTTCTGCTCTCAAGAACATGCGCCCAAGATATCCGGCGGCTTTGGTTGCCATCTTCTCTAAGCCTGGCTTCTCGCTCTCGATGATACGTCCCTCCCTCGTCCAGTAGAGTTTGGCAACCTTCATAAAGTACCACTTTGCACTCTTCATATTCCTAGCCAGCCCCTTCTGACCATCGTAATGGATTCTTCCCAAGCTGAAAGTAGCCTTGAAATCGCCCTTTCGCGACATAAGATCCAGGTATTCCAGAACGTCATCCAGCGCAGCATGAGCATCCGAATTAACGTTCGCTTTGTTTCTGTTGGTCCCGGAGCTCGAGAAACTTGCCCCCTCTCCATAAACCCCTCCATCATCGTCCGCGATCCTATAAGAGTCCGGTACCCAAGCCATTCCTCCAGGCGGCCCAGACCGAAACCATTCAATCGCCTTGTCTGCCACTGTCTTGTAGTGCTTGACCGCGGTATTGCAGCTCTGCACAACCCCAATCCCGATGTGGTATCGGAATGCAAGCGTCATTTCTGATTTGATATTGCCACCTTCAGCCGCGAAAGTGTGATATAGCAGCGCCTTTGCCTGGTCCGGCTCGACGGCTCCTCCAATCCCAGTGGCATACATGAAACCTAGCATGTGCTGCGCCGAGCTGTTGCCATCCAACGCTGCTAACTGGCGATACCTCCGGAACGCCTCTGGGTAGTTCTTGTGGGTCGAGAAGTTGCCGTAGAAGTTCATTTCCGCCAGGAGGAAAATGGCATCTGGGTTATTGATCTGCGCCGCCTCCTCCAACAGTCGCACCGCCTCTGCTACTGGTCGGGACGGTTCTTTGTGGCGCTCCGCTGACCCTTCTGATGCTGGTCCTTGTATCGATAGCCGGGGCATGAGTGCCAGTAGGTATTGCCCAGCTTGTGCCAGTAAGCCAGAGGATTTTCGAGAAGGGCGTGGGTTCAGTCGTTCGTAATTTCGCAGGAAGAAGAGGGCCTTATCAACCTGCTCTGTGCCTTTGGCTCGTCAGTACATAGCTTTCATATTATGCGGCTTATTCCTACCATCAATCCTTCTCCGCCCACCATCTTGCTCGCGCAGTGGCTGTTGCGGCGTTGGCGATTGCGCTGCCACTGAGGGCTGCGGACTTCCATCTGCTGTCGCCGTTGATTCGGTGCCATCTTGAACTTGCGCGCACACTGTAGGGTATATGAAAGGCAAAAATACTGGTCGGAATGTCAGCAATGAGCGGAATTATTTCAGTGGCCGCATGTCACAACATGACGTACAGATCAAGAGCCACAGCTGTCGGCTCCAGTCCTTCATAGTGTAGAAATTTGCGCGTGAGAGATCACTTCGTTCGAGAAGCTGTAGGAGGTAGCCCTGTCATTGTCCCAGCTGCATAGCACTGAGGGTATTTGTGGTTGTGGGGTTGCGACTCAGCTAGTCAATGTTGACCTGAAGCTAACAGCTGTCAAGACGGTTTTCGGATTCCGTCCCGAGCACGCGACAACGCTTGCTTACAAACAGGAGCGTCCTGAGACACTATACAATCATACTTTGCAGAGAGTTACGTACAGCGAGATGATATTTTGAAACTTTAAATCCCAAACAACTTTTGATTCATTATTCACCTGGCTATATATTCGACTCATGGGCTTTCACCCCGCTACATTCCCCCGAGCCTCAATCTCCTTTCCATGCCTTGATCTGGCTATCCTCTCCGCACGTTAAAACTATCTGTTGCTAGAAGACAAGACCGTCAGTAAGAGTGAAGAAGAAGACTGCACTTTTGCTCACCGAGTCCACAAAGCAGAAGCTTCTGACTATTTCCGATCCATGAGCTCCAGGCAAGGCAACCTTGGCCTCCGGCGCAAATGTCCACGGAGGGTCTTTTCTCAACTGGATGAGCTCAAACGTCTCACGGCTATTCCGGATTATTTTCCATGGTACCGAATCGATCAGGGGAGCAAGCAACATACCTATGGGTTCCGACACCCATAACAGCACCTCCGTCCGGCCTCCTGACCACGTTCGCAACATAGTCGACTTCCAACTTCTGCCTCATATCACCATGATGAGTCGACCACGAATATTCATCTTGCTCCTCTGGATTCGGTACCGTTAACAGTTGGTAAATAGAGAACTTCTCATCGTGGGAGATAGCAAAGATTTCGTGCTCGCTAATGAAGTTGGCGTGGTGTACCGAGGAACCGTGGTTGATGGTTTGCTGCAAAGCATCTTCTTCTTCTTCAATCGTAGTGTCGTATATATTGACTAAACCGTCTGTCGAACCGGAAAGTAAAATATGTGGTTTGGTCGGGTGGAATTGGAGCTGAGATAGGAGTCAACAACCAGTAGGAGTGTAGGGAAATGGGGGGTGATACTTCTGTGATATCGTCACAGTGGCTATCGTAGTATTGCACCGCTGGGAATCCAGTCTTCCTTATATCCCTGGTTCTTATTAGTACGGGCACTTCGGACAGACGGGTGAACTTGCCATATCAGAACTGATGATTGGTGGCCTGACATCTCAGTACCCGCTGCTAGTCCATACGGAGAAGAAGTTGCCAGAGACAGTATTGGTTCAGAGTCTAGAAGATATCAGCAAAGGCTCAAGATCCCATCGAAAAGAACAGCAAAGAGGAGGCTCGTTCTCCTCCCTCTTTTCAGCCGCTTCAAAACCCCGACTTGAAAGGAATGCAGTACACGCTGAAAATCGCGAGATATGTAGGAGACAACACCAAAAGTTACCCAAGCCAACCAAAAGAGGAAAAAAAAAAAAAACAGAAAGAGAAGTAAACCCAAACGAAGCCTCCACAACTCACCACTTCTAACCTCCCAAACCTTCTCTCCACTTCTCGGGTCCCAAAGGCACACCCTATAATCCCCCCCCGCCGTAGCTACAAGCCCACTGCTCTCAACAGCCTGCATACACGTGACCTCCTTATGAACCTCTTTCACCTCGGTCAGCGGGCCCCTATGCAGCGCCAGCGGATCCAGCAGCCGCAAACTATCATCGGAGGAAATAGCTGCGATGGCACCGGCTACAGGTACGATATCGTAGACATAGACGTTTGCTGGGCGTGCAATTCGAAAAGAGGATATGGCGTTGAGGTTGTACATTTTCTGCGACAAAGAGAGATTATTAAAATTTGAAATTTCGGAAGCCGTATCCATCTGGAGCGAGGAACTCTTACATTGGAGTTGCAGATTTTCAGCTGAGAAGAGGCAGGTGGTGCTTGATATATACATAAAAGCGCAAACTTCCTCTTATGTTACCTCAAATGTCAGGCTCATTCACCGCCTTACCAATAAAAGCTTTGGGGACGAAAACTGGCGGATAATTATGGTGCTCACGTGGATTCTGCCGCTCCCGTTCCAAGTGCCTGATATTGAGGGAACGCGTTCGGCCCAACGGGTTGGATTCCCCGTCCTATCCATATTCTCGAAAAGAGACTGTAATATGGCGACCTCGACTAGGCCTCCCGAACGGAAACTATCAGCCAATTACTTGCTCGACTATGTTAGTCTAATGTGACCATACACCACCCCACGCGTTACATGCGATATCGCAGGATATCTTAGAACCTCAGAACGTAGATGGTAACGTTGCACCCACCGCGAGGATTCTGGCGATGAGATCAACGGCCTCGGGATGGGTGGCACTTGCGGCGGGTGCCTGCCATTGACACAGATACCTACTAGGGTGAATCAGCCTACGTGGATAGATACTAGAGCAACAAAAACCCTAGGATACGATGTGGCAAAAGAAAAAGAGACGAGGTAGGAGAGCAAATTGCAAAGAACATTTCCCACAAGTAGAGGGCTAAAGGGCGTGCATGGCCAGGTGCATGTATCTTTGCAGAATTGCTTATCTCGGGCCCAACGCAAACCCAGCTTTGAAACCAACACAGATATCGACTGAGGGAACTTACATGATGCCGTATATTCTGTAACCAACCAACTGCTCTGTGCCGCCCCCGACGAAGTGTCGGATTACGGTCGCCGCCCGAGACCTCAGGGGCAGTGACCATTTCAGCCGCAAGCGATGGCTACAACCGCCCAAACAGACCCTCAACTATACTTATCATGCTTGTTCTTGACCTTGATGAGCAGCAAAGCCTCGTGATAATTTCCCTCCCTCCGAGCCTTCTTCAACTTCTTAACCTCGTCGTCCTCTAGCCTCCTGCCAACAGCCTCCTCAAGCTCCTTCCTACTGATTTTCTCCCTAGCCCTCTCCTCTTTTGACGCCTTCAGTTTCGGCTTGAAACGTGCCTGCATCCGAATGCGGAGCGTCGTGTTGAATGTAATAGCTTCTGCGTCACCTCGTACCTCAGGGAGCGCGCTCGATTTCGAAGATGTAGATGGCTTGATGGTCAAGAATGTCTCGCGTAGTGTTTGGATCTGAAATGTGCCTGGTGTGTCGACGGTAGGTATGGCGAGGAATGATTCGAGCGGTGATACCGCTTCTGTATTCGCAGACAGCATGCCGTATTTGTCGCAACTCAAGTACCTGTAAGATATTAGCCAGAATCCCATCAGGAGCGACTCTTTGACCTGCCTTCCATGGTGGCCCTTGAATGTAAACGACTCTGTGCCTGCTACTCGATTCGCGACCCAAACTTGCCGTACGTCGTGGGGTTCTGCGGTGGAAGGGTCGTCGTTGATGATATTCTCCAGCGCGCTTGCAAAGACCTTGCCATTTGTATCGCACGCCACGCAACTCGGCGGCTCTGACGGCAGAACCAGAACGATCGGCCCTACAACATCTCCAGTAGCCTCTGCCGTCACCCAGCTATCGTCGTCCACAGGGGCGTCCAGCTCGGGCTTCGAAGCGGTAGGTTGCTTGGCCGAAGGTAGATCCTCGCCGTCGCCAAACTTTTCTGCAACGTCGACGCGCTTCCTCTTTTTCGTCTTCTTGTCGCCTTTGAATGAGAGTGGTTTCACCATGTTGCCGAAATGCTTCGCTGAACGGATATGTGGTTCAGCAATGAGTTGTTGTTGTTATCGTAGACCTGCCTTTTCCAGGAGCTTGAAGCTTGAAGCTTGGAGCTAGACCCAAAAAGTGCCCACCTTCCGACCTGAATCCCGACCTCCTCACCCCGTGACATTCTGGACTTATATCGAATTCCCCCTTCTTCTTCCTCTTTAATAATTCAGTATTTCTTGTCTACCTCAAGATGTCTTCGGCACCAGTCACGGTCAGTCTCGAAGACTTGAAAATTGGTAATATACGTCCTTATCAAAACTCTAGACAGTCCGCTCATCTCACCAGGAAATGTCCCCTTCTCTACCTTGGTAGAAGCCTTTGGGCCAGAATCTCTCGGCATAATCATCGTCAAAGATGTCCCAGAAGATTTCCTAGCCCTCCGCCATCGCCTCCTCTCCTACTCCTCTTACCTCGGAAACCTCCCCCAGTTCCGACTTGGTAAACCTACAACATCCACATCCACATCCTCACCCCTATCCTATTCACAGCACTAACTTTCCAGATAAACTCGAGAATCCAACCTCCAAATACCTAACCGGGTGGTCGCGCGGTAAAGAGACTTTAAAAAACGGCCAAATCGATACCTACAAAGGCTCCTTCTACGCCAACTGCGCCTTCTACGTAGACTCCTCCTTGGACTGCGCCAAACCCACGGAGGAGTTCTCGCCTACCAATTTTCCTGAATATCTCAGTCCTAATTTGTGGCCCAACGTGATCCCCGGCTTCAGAGAGACATTTGAGGATCTGTGCCGTCTCATTATCGATACTGGTGTCCTGGTAGCCAGAGCATGTGACCAATACGCCGAGAAAGAGATTCCAGACTACAAGCCGGGATACCTCGAGCATGTTGTCAAGAATTCAACTACTACCAAGGCGAGGTTATTGCATTACTTTCCCGCGGATCCAGAAGCCAAGGAGGAGAGTAACGACGATGACTGGTGTGCTACGCATCTCGATCATGGGTGCCTGACAGGCTTGACTAGCGCAATGTTCATAAACGAGACACGACAAGTCCCATGTATCCCCATTGGATGCTCTGACAATCCTCGTTTTCTCCCGACTCTCCCAGAGCTTGAATCGTCCCCTGATCCCACGGCAGGCTTGTACATCCTGTCTCGCAGCGGAGAGACGGTGCAAGTGAAGATTCCTAGAGACTGTATTGCATTTCAGACGGGTGAGGCGTTGGAGAGGATCACCAAGGGGAAATTCAAGGCCGTGCCGCATTATGTGAGGGGCGTTAGGCCTGGTATTGCCGGTGGGGAGAACGAAGGGGCTGCTATTGCGAGGAACACATTGGCGGTGTTCACGCAGCCAAATCTGGGCGATTTGGTGGATCTAGAGCAGGGTCTTACGTTTGGGGATTTTGCGAGGGGTGTTGTGGAGAAGAATACTGCGAAGTAATGGTATGGCGGAATTGGATAAGAGAAACAGGTGAGCAAGTGTTGGGCATCTTGATCTTCGAAGCTATGTAGATTTCCGCTGATATTTCTCATGATCAACTCCTGCAGCATACGCAAATCCAGCAGCGACCGAATGTTTATACCTCCTATCTTAGAAATTTGTCAACATGCCCTCACTAGAGCATCACTTAACCAGGTTCGGCCCCGGTGGGTGTTGGCTTGGATATATCCGGACATAACAAGCTCTGCGCTCATCCGTTGGCAACCAAAGTGTGGACAAAGGCCATCATAGATAGCATCTTGTTCGCCAATTTTTGAAGGATACATGGGATCGGCCGTGGTGTGAAGATGGGGGGCGTTCGCTCAAGGATTTGAGTTTGACAATTAATGTTCTTCTCGAACGTTATCAAATCTCTCCGTTCGAAATCGGTTCGAGTCGAAGGTCCTCTGATCACGAGATGCAGGTTCTAGAATCCATATTATTATTCCCGGCCTGTGAAGCGCGTACCCGCATGCCTGGTCGCACCCGCCATCCGCGATCTACGGAGTATAGGAAAAAAGCTCCGGCCCTGTACCAATTGATCCGCCAAAAAAGCTTCGGGCGTTGGTGTGCATTTCGCACAGAACCTCGGTCAGGATGACCTTGCTGCTTCGATTGCTAATTTTTCCCTCCCTTTCCCCAGCTCTCAAGTTCTTTACTTTGTGTTCCGTTTGCTATACTGTATCACGACAAGGCTCTCAAGCGAGTCTGTTGACTTTGCCAGACCGGATGATCCCTCTAGCCCAAAAAAGTATCCACTCGCCTCCTCTCCAGCCAATAAAAGTTGCCTGCCGATCCCAACTTTCTACGGAAGAATGCGTGCTCATCTCAAATACCAGATCCTTCTGGCTTCGAAGCTTCTACCTCACCACGCTTGTTTGCTCCAAGTAAAATTTCTAATTATGCTATTCAGAATCATTCTGGCAGCTTTTCTACAAGCAGTTGTGGTTGCTGCTCTGCCAGCGTCTGTATCCTTCCTTTCTCCTGGTAGATTCGAACTTTCCTTTAATATTTTCTATAGGGAGACCTCATCGAAAAGATCCGTGGATTTCAACTGGGGCTCAACCAAAGTTCGGGGACTCAATATTGGAGGCTGGCTGCTACTCGAGCCATGGATTACGCCGTCCATATTCCACGCTCTGGATCCGTCTAAAGGGATAGTCGATGAATACACGCTCACCGAGAAGCTTGGTACGGATGCCGCGTACAGCATCCTCAAGCCTCACTGGGATAGCTGGTGCACCTTTTCGGATTTCCAGAAGATCGCACAAGCTGGCTTCAATACCGTTCGAATCCCAATAGGATACTGGGCCTACTCTCTCGAGAGCGGAGAGCCATATACGCAAGGTGCAGCGCCGTATATTGATGCAGCCATTGAGTGGGCGCGAGCAACCGGGCTCAAGGTCTGGATTGATCTGCACGGAGCGCCTCTGAGTCAAAATGGATTTGACAACTCAGGGCACAAGGTGTCGACACCAGGATGGCAAGGAGGTGACAGTATTGCTCAAACACTTTCAGTCCTCAACACCATCACGAAGAAGTACGCCCAGGAGGAGTACCAGGATGTGGTTGTAGCAATTGAGCTCTTGAACGAGCCTTTCAGCTCTGCTCTGAACTTCGAAAAACTCAAGCAGTTCTACCGAGACGGGTTTGATCAGGTCCGAGCTGTCAGCGACACGCCTGTGATGTTGCATGATGCATTCGTGACCCCCAAGACTTGGAATGGGTTCCTTTCCGTATCTGACAACAACTCGCACAATGGTATATCAAATTGAGCCAGATCTAAATCCTCGACTAATGGTGCCTTCAGTTATTGTCGACCACCACGAATACCAAGTTTTCACCAATGAGCTTGTAGCTCTCCAGCCATGGGAGCACCGTCAATTCGTATGTAACAACGTTGCATCGTATACTTCCGAGACCGATAAATGGGTAGTTGTAGGCGAGTGGACAGCCGCAATGACCGACTGTGCTCCAGCCCTCAACGGGTACGGCATCGGTGCCAGATACGACGGGACCTACCCGGGCTCCTCGTACGTCGGCCAATGCGACGACAAAAGCAACATCACCAACTGGAACGAGACTTTCAAAAGCGATATGCGAGGATACCTTGAAGCCCAGCTCTCGGCTTTCGAAAGCCATTCGCAGGGCTGGGTGTTCTGGAACTTCAAGACCGAAGCAGCTCATGAGTGGGATGCGTTTGTGCTCATGGACGAAGGGATCTTTCCTCAGCCTCTGGAGGACCGCGATTTTGGTGCGATTTGCTCTTGATCATGAGTGACCTGCGGTATTTGGTTTGGCTTCCAGATAGCGATCTGGGGTTGGATGGTTGTCAGGGAGAAGGGGGGGGGGGGGAACTTGCCGCTGAAAATATAACATTCCTTAGTTTCACTTCTTCGATTTTCATGTACACAAAGCTTAATACTGGGATACTGGGATACAGAGGTCTCGACACCTAATCTACAAGAGAGACTTGATATCTAAACTTAATTAGATAGCATATGCTTATCTTTAGGATGCGAGGCGTTGATTTGAATAGGTATCATCGGTGCTTTTTATCAGTGCACCCACCAACTTCACCTGCCCAGTCTTCCATGCTACTATTATGTCACTGCATCGCGACTTGTTTGTCTCGCTGTTTCTTATCATGCTGTCTGTTCTTGAAAATACCTAGAACTTCGATTGGAAAGTCTGCTTCACTTGTGCCCGTTCTGGGGTTGGGGCTGAGGGTGGGCTTGGCAGAATGTCGCTTGCAGAATGCCAAATCCGACGACACCTCTTGATCTACATACACTTTCATCATACTTACTACGAGACTTATACTTACTTATGATTACTAGACATGCTTCACTATCGTTTAAAACTATTCTTACGTTTGCAACCTTGCTGCAATATTCTTTCCGAGTGTGGGACCAATGCGCTTCGTTGAATCTACTGCGCCCTTTGGCATCTACAGATTCAAGCCATTTTTACAGTCTATCCCAATGTATTGCGGTACCTTCCAAGGCTATTCCGGGGTTTTTTTTGATACAGAATAAACCATTCACTCTCTCTATCTGCTTGGTGTATTTCTCCTCCCTCTGTCCGTGTTTGTCTGAAGGCCTGAAGCCTGGGGCAAGCAAGAGCATCTCCAATCTGCAATATCACTTCCACTCTATCAAGACTCAAATTTTCACAATTGAATCATGAACACCGCCTGTAAATTTTGGCATATTCCATTTTGAGGAGGATTGGCAGAGTGAAAGCGCTGGCTGCCAACTGGCGCTACAGAATCGCTATCACCTCTATCTCCGTACTATAAAGATGTTTAATATTATGCGTTTCAGCTCAAGCATTGTATAGCATAAATTTATTCTTTGTATTTTGTGATGCAGTTCTTTGTAGCCTGCAGCATCTCTCGGTAAACTTAATGTTCCTACTCCTTCACGATGCTGCTAGACAGGCCATCGACTATGACCATCTAGGTAGCCATTCACTCAAGGTGTGGAGCTTGAGATGTTAGGTAGTCCAGGTGCGGGAATCTAGCCTCGTGATATCTGGGGCTCAAGGCTAAGCTAGTTCCTGTCCCCACCGATACAACTGAGATTTTCTTCTAACCTCAACTTCCTCGATTCCACCTCTCAACCTTGTTTCCGATTCCCCTCGACGCCATCTATTTCGTGAAACTGCAGACTCTTCACAGGCCTCCTGGGATTCTTATAACACATCAGACTTCGAAGTCATCTGCAACGCCCTTTATTAGTAAGGAATGGCCTTGACGCAAGATCGATCTCAATCACGAGAAGTGAGCTGACCCAGAACAGGTTTCGATCACTGTGCCTGCACATCTGCCTTCAGCTTCGACTCACGGCACGTGTCTCCCTGGTTTCGACTGAATAGTATGGAAAGCTATCGCGCTAGAATGGCCCCCGCTCTTATACTTGAAGTGGCTCCCCACGAACCTTCATCTTTGGAGGACTTGATCTCAGCCATTGTCAATACCCATCAGTTTCCCGAGCCTGCTCCGTTGAATCTGACTACTCAAAACTTCTCTGATTGGAGAAACAAGATTACTACTCGCATACTGCCTTCCTCCGCTGAACACGCACACTGTCCTCTTCGTCACTACATCGGCCGGAAGCAGGTCAACGCGAAAATTCGCCTTCTGCGACGCTCCATCCGTTCTTCTCGACGAGTTCCACTCCAGGCCGAGAATAACACCCCCGAGGACGCCAACAATAACAATCTCGGCACCATCAACGGCGACAGCTCCTCCAATAGCTCCATTGTCAACATGTCCATCCCCACCACATCTGCCTTCAGCCTATCTCGCCGCGGCGGACGCTCTGCTACCCAGCTGGCTCCTCGGACTCCTCCAAACCTCTATCGCGATAGTAATGTATCTGATCGCGCTTCATTGTCCCCAGTCCTGAACCACCCTGCGAGAGTTGGTTTGGCGGCTCAGCAAGTCATTCGTACCTCAACTATCACTCGTACGACGACAACCACCACTCGCATCGACACAGTCGCGCCCGCTCTTACCTCTCTCGTCGACGAAGCTCCTGCGCGTACCGCCACTAGCTCTCGCATCAACTACGCCGCTCCTGTGGTCGCTCGAGAGGTCACTCCTGAGGTTGTTCCTGCTCCTGAGGTGGTTCCTACTCCTGAGGCTGCTCCTGCTTCTGAGGCTGTTTCTGCTTCTGAGGTTGCACCTGCAGTTGCTTTTACGGTCATGCCTCAACCTCCCACTCCTCCCCCCAAAGATGCTCCTCGTGCTGTGAGTTTCACTTTTCTTCCCGATCTGGTCTCCGGGGCGCAGTTACAACATTTTTTCGCATTCCGCGGCGCGTTATCCACTCCGAACTTCAAACGAAGGCTAACATTAGGACTCAAGCAGAAGGCGGTCGAGAAAGAGCTTCCTGCCAAGCCTGTTCTCTGCAGAGATCAACCTCCCGAGCGTACCGGTCTCACTGGTAGGTTCTTCTATCTGCCTGCTCGAGCTTTTTGGATTGACACAAACACAGATGCCAATGATAGTGCTGCCAAGCGCAGATCTCTCATCTCCCCTCCTCCTCGTCGCTCCTATATACCACCACGTACCTCCTCTCGCCCATTGGGTGGCCCTTTCGTCAAGAATGCCCGCGTCGTCCCCCAGCTCCCAGCCCGAAGTGGCTTCTCTCCCACTGCTAGAGTTGTGCCTGCGATTCGTGCCTCTCTTGGTCACGCCGCAAACTACCAGAGCCGGAGCCCCACGGAGAGAGAGCCCGCTGCCTCTGTTGACCACATATTGTCGTCTGCTTCCAGGGATCCGAAGCCGCAGAAATTGGAGGGTGTGTCTCATGTCAACGCTTTAAACAGTCTGCCCGAAGAGTCGAATGCCAAGGAGGTTAACGTTTCTGGAGACAAGGGTGATGTTGCTGACGACGGAGTTTCTTCGCCGAAGCTGTCACCTGCTCGTTCGGATGGCGGTCGACGCTTCGCCGAGTACGGCTGTGGACCATCTATTAGATTTGCGCCCGATGCTCATGAGAAGATCATGGGTTACTCTAGGTAATTATCGTTCCTCAGCACAGGAGCTCCCCACTGACTTACGATTACAGGCCTACAGCCTCGAGCGGCAGTGCTTCCCGTGATTCAGTTCCTTCCGTGTCTTCCAGGTCTGGCGCTGCCAATGGAACCAACCCGAGTGGACGCTTGTGAGTGCTTGTTCTTGATCTTGATCTTGGGACATCTAGCTAACAGATTGTAGGCCCCCCACGAGCCGCCAGCCGATCAAGACTTCATTCAATGAAGCTAATACCCCCGTCGTCACTTCTCGATTCAATAAGTCTGCAGATCTCAAGGCCAAGGTCAGAAAAAACGCCCCAATCGAGGGCTCTCGCATCGCCCGTCCCGTCACTTCCTCCAACAGTGTCCGCAAAACCACGCCGATTTCGAATGCCAAGGCTATCAAGCGTAAGCCCGTTGCTGTTGCTGAGGTGAAGAAGTCCCCCGAGGTGAAGCGTGTTAGCCAGGGTATCGTCAGCCGCGTCTCCAATCTTTTCGGCCGTCGGCGTATCAAGGAGCAGACCGATCCGAAGCGTGAGTCTAGCAAGTCGAACAGCAAGGAGGGTGCTCGGGCCGCGAACGGAACTCGTGTGACTCGTTCCGGTCTCCCGGTTGCGAATGCTGAGCCAGCCGTCGAGCCAGTCACTACTACTACTGATACGAAAGCAACTCCTATCGTTTCGGAGGTCAAGGGCGGCTACAAGTCCCCCAAGATTGTGATCAATGAGGATCCTGCCCCCTCCTCTGAAGGAAGCACCGAGGAGGCTATGAACAAGCCAGAGGCTGCACCCGCGAGTTCTGCCACTATGGTCAGCGAAGAAGCTGCCCCGGTCGCCGCCACACCGGTTGCCGCTGCGGCACCAGTCGTCATCGAGGCGGTCATCGCCGCCCTGCCGGGCCTTCGGGCCATTTACGAGGAGAACGATGCCGCGGCTGTGGCCGAAGACCTGCGTGCCGCCGCTCGCATCGCGGCACTGCAGGCTTTGGTCACACCGCTCATCGACCACCTCCAGGGCATCACCGACCCGCGGCTCCACGCTGCCATGGCTCCCGTCGCCCGATCCTTCGCCGGGAACCTGATGGCCATGCGCCGTCAGCGCATGGCGTCGGTCGAGGTGGCGGATGCCAACCAGGAGACCATTGGCAGCGTGGTGATCCTGCTCGAGACGGTTGCGGCGCTGCACGGCGTGTCTTGGTCTGAGGGGACGGATGTGTGATGACTGTACGACTAATTGATAATGGGGCACTGGGCGGCAAACAAGGAAGATGATTTGTAGTATAGAAAATAATAATATAAGCAATTCAAAAAACCAAAAATCGGAATAGATGATCGTGATAATATAAAGCTTGCGGACAAGATATACGTTTGATGCTTAACTATATTGATAATATCTTTTCGGATCTAAAATGCTTCGATTGGATTTTTTTTTATTAATCTCCGATTAATAGTTCTTTGAGCGACCGCATAAAAGAAACGCTAATAAGATCTTTATTTATATAGGTAATATTACGGTAATAGCGATCTTATCTTACCACGGACTTATTGCGAGACTTGAGTCATGACGTTATATGTAAATGCGTATAGCAAATTAAGTATACTTATACCTCGGGATTATTATTTTAAAAGCATGTATATAATTATTTCAGCGATCTTTTAAACTTATTTCATAAGCAATTGTCATTAAGCATTGGTTACTTTAAATTCGACTGGAAGAAATCAATCAGATTTAAATAAAAATAATAATAAAGATGAAGTTGTAAAAGTACAATTTATTATTTGGAAAGCTTATTAATGAATCTAGCGTTATGTGATACAATTGTTCCTTCTTTTTATGACGATCCGTGATCATTTGTAATGTTTATTAATAACGAAAAGTAGTAGCGATATGACGTATAAGAATCGTAGATGATAATACCTTTTATTTTATATAAATTAAGATCGCCGAAGATATTGAAAGTAGGCATAAATCCATAGCGATATTTAAATAAATCACAAACATGTAACCTAGAAAATATAGTATAATCTAGCTCTTTCTTAATTGAATCTTTATAAAGTTTTAAGCACGGCCTGCGTTCTTTGTACCAAAACGAAGTGATGCAGACGTTGCAGAGCTATGTAAGGATACGTTCTTTTTAATCGACACCTACTTATTCCCGGAAAGAGATGGTATTGTCTGCGAGTATATAAACACGATGACTATCATAAGAATAAAATAAAAGATGAACTTAGGACGAATGAAAACCCAGGAACATTAAAACAAAACAAACCCTTTTCAGCACCGATGGGAAATGACATTCAATCATATATAGCTTTCCAGAACGTAGCTCCTGATAACACACATCCCCCCTATCACCATATCCTCGACCTCCTTCCTCTCACTTAACAAATCCCCTCAAGCAGCGACTCAGTACTCCCCCAACCGAGAAAAATGGACGGCGCAAAGGTTCGTTACGCAAAGTGCTATGAAGGGAGGTAAAGTAAAGATCATCGCTTGAAATCTACTACCCCTCGCGCTTCGCATTCTTACTGGTCCCGATCAGAGTGTTAAGACTAGGCTCGACCTAGGGTTAGGCTAGAGGTTGTTCTCGGCGTTGGCGTTCTCGCGCTTCACGTTCTTGCTGGCTCCGACCAGAGTATTGAGGTTATAAAGGTTGTTCTCGGCGTTAGCGTTCTCGCGTTTTACGTTC